AATTCAACACCGACAAGTGCAAGGTGCTGCACCTGGGGAGGAAGAACCAGCACCACACCTACAGGCTGGGGAACTCCCTTCTCGCCAGTGCAGAGGCAGAAAAGGATCTTGGAGTCATCATTGATGCCAAGATGAACATGGGCCAGCAGTGTGGGGATGCAGTCAGGAAGGCCAACCGCACCTTGTCATGCATCCACAGATGCATCTCGAGCAGGTCCAGGGATGGGATACTCCCCCTCTATGCGACACTGGTCAGGCCGCAGCTGGAGTACCGCGTCCAGTTCTGGGCGCCGCGCTTCAGGAGGGATGTGGACAACATGGAAAGGGTCCAGAGGAGGACCACTCACATGATCAGGGGGCAGCAGGGCAGGCCCTATGAGGACAGGATACGGGACCTGAACCTATTCAGCCTCCATAACAGGAGGCTGACGGGGGATCTAGCGGCCTGTTAACAAACTAGTCAGAGGGGACCAGCAGGCACTGGGGGAGTCCCAGTTCCCCCTGAGCACTACCAGGAGTGACTAGAAATAATGGTCACAAGCTGGCAGAGGGCAGATTCAGACTAGACATCAGGAGGCGCTACTTCACTTCAGGGCAGCTAGGATCTAGAACCAACTTCCAAGTGAAGTGGTGCTGGCTTCTACCCTGGGGGTCTTTAAGAGGAGGCTAGACAAACACCTTGCTGGGGTCGTTTGACCACAGTACTCTTTCCTGCCATGGCAGGGGGTCAGACTTGATGATCTGCTCAGGTCCTTTCCGACCCCACAAACTATGAAACTATGAAGATTTAACCAAAGTCTTTTGTGGAATAATAATCTTGCAACTCCAATTCAAGACCAGGAACTCATGAAAATTCAGGTGTTCCCCGAATTGTGACTTTTACCAACCCAGCCATTTTTAAAGAAGAGGAGAAGATCTTCTGCTGGTGTAATTTGATGAAGCACCATGGACTTTCATAGGATTTTCCTAATTTATATGCACAGAGGACATGGGTGTACATTAGACATACTGTGCATCTTGGCTAAGCGTGTTTATCCACTTTCAGCCTTACTGTTATTTTTATTTGGCATGAGAGCTGTGCTGAGCCACCTGTCTGATGCCTGAACATTAAACTTACTCTTCTCTTCAGTCTCTCTCTCTCCTTCAGTGTCAAAGTGTCAGCCTTGGCAATCACAGGTACAATGTTGACCTTTCCATGAAGAGCTTTCATGAACTCGACATCTAAAGGCTTCAGCCTACAAACAGAAAAGCACAATTACACTAAATCTAAGCTACTATTGAATTAAACAGACAGGTTAGTGGCACACATCAGTGATTACTGCACTAACAATGAAGAAAGATACCTTGAATTAAGGGCTACCATGTAAATACTCTATGCAATAAAATTAAATTACTTGGAGCACTCCTTTACTGGGTTGCTCATTTAAGAGCTGAATTGTAATCAAGCTTTCATCTACATTCTACTAATTTTTTGTGCTGCTGGGCAATAAACAATTTAATATCTACTCTTCTATAACAATATAAAGATCCTACTGGAATGAGCACAAAGAAAAAGGCAGTTATTAATCCCAAAGACTTTTTTAATTGTGCTGGCTGACTGACAATTTAGGGAAATAACCCCATCAGAATGAAGGTTAGTCTCCAATTCAAGGAAATTACCAAACTTACGCTTCAGACAAAACACTGTAAAATACAAATCAACGTTCTTACCCATGTCCAAAAGGAGATATGAAGTAAAAACAGCAGTGGACTCTGTTGTCTATGATGTGGCGCCTGTTCAGACCACTTTCATCATGAAGGTATCTTTCAAATTGATTGTCAATGTACTGGATGATTGTTTTGAAGCTGTGATATGAAACAGAGAGATTTTAAATATGTTGGGGTTTTTTTCTATTTAATAATTTCTGATAAAAAAGGAAAAAAAGAAAAGAAGGAACATATGATCCGATTACATTTTTCACAAAGAAAATTCAGTTTCCAAATACTCTATCTGCCACTGACAATAAGAACAATAAAATAAAGATAAAAACTGTACAGTGTGCAATATGTAGTCTCCCCCATAATGTCCAATTGTGTCTGGCACAACTTTAAATTAACTTTTATTGGGTAAAAAGTTCAACTGCAAGTTCAGAGAAACAAACTCAATGGTGAGACAACACAAAGACAGGAACATAGGGGTCAAGATTTGTTTTTTCTTAAACCAGCTGACAAATGACATATCCAGGATATCCTCTTGATTTACAGTTTGACAACTCTGACCTCAAAACCAGGGTTACCTACAAAAATTCTGATATTTTAGTCTATCTGAATACAGTCTAAATATATTTGAAAGCCATGTGCTAAAACATCAAGTGATTTATTAAGCTATTTTTTGCTACATACAGAACCTTCTTTTGTTGGCAAAGAAAAATCATTGTACTTAGTACACAGCAGTTTCACATACGCACTGAAAGGAAGTAATGAAATATAAAGTTATGTTGCAGGCAAGCACTGATACACACATACACTGGTTATTAAAAAGAGAAAATGAAAGGGTTGGGTTTTTTTTAAATACCAAAAAGATTGGTTTTTCTGGCACCCTAAAGGTTAGTAGAGGTCTCACAAAATAAGACTCTTTCCTGCTCTGGAGTGTTTACAATGTAAATAATGAAGGAGGGGAAAAAGGCAAGGGAACCTACAGAATACATATGCAAGAGTAGGCAGATATTCGTGTGCTATATGCTCATCTTAAAAAAAAAACAAAAAACAAAAAACAAAAAACTTACCATTACCTTTTTCTCTGCTGAGATAAAGATTACAATACCACAGTGGTGCTCTTTTCAATTTCCCTATAACCAAACCCAGTGCTACAGAAGTGTGAGAGTCATCTGGGTGTTTGTCTTAAACAGGAACAGCATTAAAAAGATCGCAACAAATATCCAGGTATGAAGTCAGAAGATGTCTAGCCTCAGGTCTGGAAATATCATCATGACACCATCTGATATTAGGACCTGAGTCAGAATCCCGCGGACAGATTTCCCATTAAGGGAGTTTCCTCTCTCCCCGCTCCATCATGTTTTTACACACATGGAAATGGAATTGAGGAAAGTTTATGCTTTTTAGTTTCATACAGATCCATTTAACCTGCCATGCAACAGGCATTTCTTGCATGCATTACAGACATTTCTTATTATTTTTTACATTAGGAATTTAAGTATTTTACTTAAGTGAAAGCAGAAGAATAGCCTATCAAATTTTTTTTTTTTAAATACAAGGACTTTGGATGACACAGAAGAAGCTGGTATATTCAAAGAGCATCCACCTGCAAAACTATACTTCTTTCATATCAAAGAGTATTAATAACTGAATTAACATGAATGTCTGCTTGATGCATCTTTAGTATCATGATAATTATAAGCCTTATGATCATAAAGACACTGGAAAGCAGAAAAATGTCTTTAAAACAAGTTTGAAAAGTTCTTGCAAAACTTTATTGTCTTGGTAAAACTCGTTTAAAAAAAGCAGCAGCTGCAGCACATATGTTGATATGTTGAAAAAAGGCTAGACAGTAGGAAGAAAGGACTAAACGGATATTGGTTGTATGGCATGCTATATTTTACCTGACTCCTGAATTCTTTTCACACACGAAAGGAGAGAATGACCCACCTCCCTTTTGATGGGCCCACTTGATCTCCCACTAGAACCAGCTGCTTTTCTTCTGCCACTTATTTTTCTACTACCCCTGGGAATTTCTTTCACCCCCTCTAACAACTTTTCTTTATTATTCTGTACCTAACTTGTTCTGGTCAGACCTGCTGAAGAATGTCTTGCACTGGAAAGCTTGTCTAACTATCCCAGCTACACAGTTGGACCAATAAAAGATATCACCCTAAGAAATCCTTGCCTTCCTAATAAATTTTATCTTCTTGTTGATCTCTAGACAGCTTATTTATGATGCTGAAAGGTAATGAGACTGAAGAGACATGAATACAGGTTTCTCTCAACTTACGCAGGTTCTGTATATGCAAGTTTGCTCTTATGCAACAACCCTTTTTATAATCAAAATTTGTTACACGCAAAAGTAAATTCACTCTCATGCAATTGGCATAGGTGCCTCCCTCAAGCAAGTAAGTCTGTGGGGAGAAGGGCCCCCTCACCCCAGCCCCTGCTGCAGCTGCTGTGGGAGCAGCCAACGCCACCTGTCTGGAGCTGCTGGGCTGCACCGTGCCCCAAACCTCCCAGGGCTTTGCACTCACCCCAGCTCCTGGGCTGTCATGCCATGCTGCAGGCAGGTGGTACTGGTTACTGGCTGGTCTGCTGCAGCAGGAGCTGGGGTGAGTGGGGACAAGAGGAGGCCCAGCGGCTCAGGGCACAGTGCAGTCCAGCAACCACAGGCAGCTGGTGTCAGCTGCTCCTGGGGCCACTGCAGCAGGGGCTGGGGTGAGTGAGGAGAAGCGGAGGCCCAGGGCTGCAGCAGGGAGCAGTGGAGGGAACTGTCAGTGGGTGCAGGGTGTGGGACAGGGGAGCACAGCTCTTGCTGCTACACACACCCCTGGAAGGCTGCAAGCTGGGGGGCTGTGATGTGCTTTTCCTGGGGGGCATGTGCCCCCAGATCTGCACATGGAATGAGAGTAGGCTGCCGCTGCAGGCTGGGGCCGGCAACAGCACCAGGCTCTTCCCAGTGCTCGGTGGTGTTGCTGAAAGGGCAGGTGGGGGGGGTGCTACGGCAAGTTTTGGGGTAGCAGCAGCCCCCCCTCCCAGCACTGCTGCCCGCCCTTAGCACCAGGAAGAGCCCAGTGCCGCCTGCTCTTGCCCCACATGCAGATCTGGGGGCATGCGCCCCCCACCCCCGGGAAGAGCCCAGCACAGCCCCCCAGCGTGCGTATTGCAGCAAGAGCCACACCCCTCAGTCCCACGCCCCGCACCCACTGACAGTTCCCTCCACTTTGCTCCTTGCTGCAACTCTGGAAGCGGCCGACGGGCTGCACTGCACCCATCCCCCAGCCCTTCCCCTAGTCCAAGCCTTCCTCCCTCCTTCCTTCACTGCCATGGGAACGTATCCCGATTTCTTACATCGTAAATTGGGTTCCCTTTATGCGAACTCGATTTATGTGCAGATTTCCAGGAATGCATGTACTGCATAAATTGAGGGAAACCTGTATTAGAACAGAAAACAAGTACAAACAGTGGAAAAAGCAACACTTACAAATCTGTCTGGCAACGTAATTAGTTTACGTGCAGTTTTCTAGTACTAACTGCTATAGTTTTTTCTATAAATGTAGCGCTAGTGTCCCGTACCTTCTGACTTCCGGGAAACACCTGGCTTTACCCCCCAGGGCTCTCGTTACTTAGAAGACAGCATATCCTGTACTATACAGCGAACAGCGCAACCATTTCACTTAAATAGTTCATTGGGGAAAAATGACAAATATTCCCGAGCTGCCAAAAAACACAAATCCAACCTAACAAAAGCCAGGAATAACAAAAAGTAACAGTTATCAGTAACCGAGTGTTGTATTTAAGAGTATTCTGTCACACTGCAGCAAAAATAAAACAAAATATATGGACAGTATCTAACAACCAAATTTGTTAGCAGTAAAGTTGTCAGTAGTCCCTTTCATGACTGCTTCCTGCAACAAAGGGTGTATTTAGTAAGTGTGAAAGCTGCAGAGCACTCTTCTAGGTACAAAAATCTCAGTGTAAAATCCTTGTTCTCACTTCACACCGAAGACATAAGAGTTGCACACAAAACTGATATTAAAGGAATGCTAGCACTGCAAAGCTGGCTCTCTCAAATCTGGCATCTGCTAACTTTCAACTGCCTGTCACTTCCTAGGGTTTTTGGGTTTTTGTTTTTTTTTTTTAAAGAAAGCTAGCTAAAAGCTAACTACTTCACAATATTATATGGACAATACATGGATCAACAGCAGGGTTGGAACTTTTACACATCCATCGCTCAAGCTAATGCTGCTGCTGGTTGCAGTAATAAGTTGCAATATCCCATGCAGACTGGCAACTAGAGAGGGTGGGATAAATATATTGCCAGCAAATTCAACAAACATTTGTACATTACAGAAAAGGAAATCCATAACTTGGATTGGAACCCATCTCTAGTAGTCACAGACTTTTCTTCTCTTCTAGCTCCTCTTCCCTAGGTCATCTCCCTTTCTCTCTTGGGCTCCTCATCCAAATCCCTTCCCTCACCAGCATCTTTTACCCCAACTCTTATTTTCTGTTCCCCTGCAAGACAATGGAGTTTTTCAGAAATTTATGATCTGGCCATCTGGGGGCTTTTTTCACTGAACTGTAACAGCTAAGATCCCTAACAAGTAGATAACATTCTTGCTGAATTTTGAGTCCCCGATTAAAAACATATAAGCACCCAGACGTCAAGTCAAAGGTGGTTAATTAAAAGGAAAAAAATCCTCTCTTCAGATAATCCTTTCTTCAGAGACTTTTAATATTTAAGATGAATGCAAACATCTTACCTTGAACAATGGTTAGGGGGCTGGGGCAAATGACTTGAGAGGCTGAGGAAACTAGGCATATTTAGTCTGGAGAAGAAATGACAGAGGATGTATTTAAAACAGCTGCCTTCAACTACCTGAAGGGGGGCTCCAAAGGGGATGATGGAGCCAAATTGTTCCAAGTGGTGGCAGATGGCAGAACAAGGAGCAATGATCTCAAGTTGCAGCAAGGGAAGTTTAGGTTAGATATTAAGAAAAGCTCTCTCATTAGGAGGGTAGTGAAGCACTAGAACAGGTTACCCAGCGAAGTTGTAGAATCTCCATCCTTTGAGGTTTTTAAGACCCGGCCAGACAAAGCCTTGGCTGGGATGATGTAGTTGGGGATGATCCTGCTTTGAGCAGGAGGTTGGATTAGATGACCTCCTGAGATCCCTTCCAACCCTAACTTTCTAGGATTCTATGATTTCAGAGCAAAAAGTCAAAGTTATCATTAACTAATAACAGGTCCTTTTAAGAGAAATGGTAGATAATGCTGCTGGTACCACCTAAAATGATTTACAGAAAGTAGCATCAGTCACTACAACCAATGCAAATGGAAAAGGAAGCTGTATAGATAATTACAAAACAAACTGATGATAAAAATTAAGATAAGCAAGAGTCAGACAGACAGACAGACAATACCCATCTCTTCTTATAGATGTTTAAAATGCGCTCTATAATACATTATTGTGTAAAGTCCAGAAACAGCTCTATAGAAAGGGAAAGAATACATCCTCCCTAATTTATTTCCTCCCCTCCCACCCCAAAGCTGCTGTCCTTTCTTGGTCAAAGGCCACTGCTGACAGCCTTCTCCCAACTCATACAAATTGTTATTGCTTCTTTCAGGATGGCAAGCCAGTCAATGAACAGAAGGACAGAAAACAACAAGTAGGTACATAGGATGCCTATGTGGAAAGTATTTAAAGACTGTTAGAGAGTTAGCATTAGCCTTTTGGACATGGTTTCCTGACATTTTGCTACCTTTTACCACCTTCCACGGAAGCATATAACACTATACCCACAGTAAATTATAATACCATCAGAAAAAAAATGACAGAGTCACTTATACTAATTCAGAAGCAAGCATTTTCACAAACCTAATTCCAGATCAGCACCATCTGCTGGTAATTCCTTACAACAGCAAATTGTACTTGAGGAAGAAGCAATGAGGATAAGCAGTGAGAGAAAGTAATCAAGTTAAAAGCTTGTGCTCAGTGCTACTAGCACAGTCAATGGGAGGTACTGCTGTCACAGGCTATCCCCTTTGGATGATAAAGGTAATTCACTTCTCTGCTACCCCTCTCCACAGCTGCCCTAGGACCCCTCTACACACGCAGGTAAAGGTTCAATGGGATCTAATGGACAATCCACAGACTCACACATGCATGGCAGGAAGTGTGATTGTGGGATCATGCATTAGATCCCATTGCACCTTACCGTTGATGTAGGGGGAGCCCAATCCCAGGTTTCCCCAGCACTGGCAAGAAGCAAGCTCCCATAACTGGAGGATGCAGATGCTGCAATCTCCCAGTTTCAAAGGTGCACGTAACCCCTAGGGCTGGGAAATCACAGCCATGCCCCGCAACTGTCAGGACCAGGCTGGGTCCCAGTACCAGGAGACCCACAGCTGGGACCCAACATCTGCAGCTGTGGTACTCCCCACCCTGGCAGCGATAGGGCGCTGCCAGGACCTAGAGTCCGCAGCTACAGGGCTTCCAGCCCCAGCTGGGCATGGCGGACCCCTGCAGTTTGGAGCTCAGTCAGGTGACAGGGCTCCCAACCACAGCAGAGACAAGCAAATTACAGCTGGGTACCAAACAGCTATAAAGTTACACCTCAAAAATGCATAACTTGGTAGTTCGTTGGACCTTTTTATGGATATTGGTACTTTGCATATGTAACTAGCATCAGTTAATTGCGCAATTAACCAGCTAATTGCACAATACCTGTAATGTGAAGAGGGCGCCTTAGCAAAAGCTCTGTAAAAGCCAGGAGACATTGTGTTGTAAATCACCTTTACTGTTACACACCAAACTTTATGGACAGGAATAGTGTATGCACTACACTGTATAATGTATATTGCTTTCCTGTGTTTTGTGCACTATCATTTCTAATCCTTTTCAAATTAAAAAAAATAAAAATCTATGGTCTTTAATATAGACTGGAGGAAAGAGGGACAGGAGAAGAAACTAAAAGTGTATGTTACACCATATTGAAGGAAAATGGTTTGGTTTCTACTGTGTACTTCAAACTGTCCTGAGAATTGGTACCAAAAGCCTAGTACAGAATTCTCTGCTATGTTATTCAGACATGTCTGAACCACCATGGAACCACCTTGCTTGGCAAGCTGCTCCAGAAAGGGGAAAACACGTAGGCCTGTAAGAAATCTCTTTACAGAATAAACAAAGGGCATTATAACACAATCAACAGGAAGGTCTTAATGTAACACAATACGCTGGCTTAGGAGGTTTTAACTGCAACGGAATTCACCAGTACTGAAAGTGAGCAAGAGCATACTGCAGACCAGAAAGATACCTTACGGTTAATCTGATGTCACAATTAATTTTAATTAGTTTAACATCACTGGGTGAACATAAGGAAGCTGAAAACACAATTCCCACAATGCTTTCAACTTTTCAACCAATGTATTCCACATTCATTTCAGAAAGCTGGTAAAAGTAGTAAACTGCCTCCATTTTATAATCATCTTGCAAAGCACTGCATAGAAAGAAAGGAAAACAAAATACAGCAACCAACTGTATTCTTCATTACGGTCTAAACTTTGTTCAATGAAAATACAATGCAAAAAGCAGTCTTAGGTGTAGGAATTGTATAAACCGTTCGCCATTTCCCCAAATTTTCTTTTTGTTTGTTTGCATATCTGGCATAAACTAGAATGAATAAGTCTTCTATATATTTTGCTTCTATTTATTTTATTTTGCCAGCTCCAGCTCCAACATAGAGCACATGGCAGTGGGAACCCTGACCCCAACCCAGCACAGAGCAACAGCAGGGCCAGTAGAGACAGTAGATCTGTGGCAACAAAGACAGGCAAAGGAACTGGATCTGTATCAGCTGTCACTCACCCTCCTACCACCCATCACCACATCCACCAGGGCCCAAGGGACCCATATTCTGTAACAGGCCACTCTCACCCTGCCACACACTCCATTTTTCACGTGGTGGATAGAGAAGCTTGGCAGGCCAGGTCCAGCCTGAATGCTATATATTCAGCACCCCTGTTCTTAGGTATTTGTCTTGCTCTATTTTGAGAGGAAATTTCAATAAAAAATAGAGTATATTTTGCTCAGCTATTCATCAGACATTTTTAAAAGCATTAGTATGAAAATTTAAAGTTTAGCCACTGACTGAATTGGAAACATTAATAATCTAGGCTCCCTAATTAGCACTGCCTTTACATTGTATCTTCATTTACAATCCACTTACCTCAGGGCCAATTTTCCTAATTTAATTAACAGCATACACAAGAACTTGAGTAATATCTATGTACAATTTATAAACTCCTGTTTGGCTTTATGAACCACCCAATTTGTATACTTTGTAGCTATCATTTACTTTTCCTTACCTTGCAATCCTTAGACTAAATAGCGAAGCAGAGGGGTGATGCACTAGCGCAATGCCTATAATTAAATGCCGATCATTTAAGACTGTTAGATCTGGCAAAGCAAAATGAATCAGCAACTAATTTAGATAAAACCAGTTTTCACTAACTTCTCTGCAGAGAAACTTTGGAGAAATAAAAGTCCCCTGGGAGAGGAAGTAGAGAAATAAGTGCTGGGGCCTTTTAAAGCACAGAAACTGGATGGGCCAGAGACACAAAGGAGGGTTTGGGGCAGAAATGAGCAACAAAATGCAGCAGGCTTTTGGTGAGACGGGGAGAAACAAGTCAACAGATCAGCTAAAAGGGGAAGCAGCTGACTATAAAGGTCAGAAAGACTCCATATGTTGGAGCAAAAATCACGAACTTCAGGAAAAGGATCCTGGACAGCCCAGAGCACTTTGACCAAGGCCCCAAATATACTCAAAAGCAGGAAGGAAACTGAGGCTGGCAATGGTAAATGAGTTCCTTATAATTTACCTAGGACTGTATATTTCTCGTGCCATCTAAAGTAAAGAGGAATTGTATTAGAAATCTCATTTACAAAGACTCACTAGTCCCATTCCCTAGCCTCAAGGCATAGACAGTGAGACTGCAGGGCCTCAGCTGTCAGAAGTGACAGAAGAGAATCTGTATCCCAAGAATGTCTCCAAACCCACAGGCAGTGCTTAGATTCGGCTGAGACACAGGATGGCTTAAAGCCAATGATCCAACATATGGGGGGGCCCTAAAACAGCAGCCTGGCAAGTGTTCAGAATAGACAGGTTTGACAAGGCTTTGACATACAGAAATAAGCAGTTTTGACTAAGAAAACAAGCATCACTAGCAACTAGTAATGTACGTAGAAAAACTTATGTCCCAGCAGAAGAGCAGCAAGCAAGATATTCTAGAGGGAAGGAGTTATATGCAGGCAGATATATCTGGCTGCACATAATTCCAGCTCACTGCAGTTAAACTACATCAGAGAAGAATTTGGTCGATACTTCTTTTTTTTAATCTATGACAAGGAATTTTTGCAGTTAGGATACAGGAAATAAAAGGTTTTATGGTTGTGATGAATATTCTAATTCCATTTTAGTTTGTACATGAACCCCACACTCTCAAAGTTATTTGGGTAAATAAAATTACAAAACAAAACAAAAAAAAGCAACACTAGGCCAAATATCAATTTTAAATGGTCTCTACCTGATGTCTAAAGCTCCCTTCTGTCACCTCTCCTTGTGCAGAGTCCTCAAATCTCCCCTGACAACTCCACACTTGTCAACTTCCTTCTTTTAGCAGTTATGACTACTGCCCTCTGCCCCTGCCATTCCCACACCATTCAGGTTTTGTACTCAACAAGTAGAGAAGAAAGTCACTATGAAAAAGCAGAAAAAGCATGAGAGCTTTAGTCACTATAGTGTTTTCTTTCCAAACAAAAATGGACAGGGCTAAGAAGACAGTCTACTGTAATCTCAAGATAACAAATACATTACTATAAAAAAAACCAAACCAAAAAAAAAAAACATGAAGTGGTTGCTTCCCTTTTGGATGTCACAACATAAAAGAACAATACGAGCTGTTCTCAGAAAACCACTCCCAGCTGCTGAATCGCCAAGGTACATATAAAAAGGACAGATAAACATATTCAGCTTGTCTCTTTAGGCACACACTGATGCATTTAGCCAGTAAAGATGGTGGTTAAAAACAGACATACCAGTCTTGACTGTTAATGGCATCTCCATATCCTGGTGTATCGACTACTGTTAAACGGAGTTTCACTCCTCGCTCCTCTATTTCTACCGTAGAAGCTTCAATTTGAACTGTTCGCTCTATTTTCTCTATCAGAAAAATAATATTTCACATGTTAATATTTCCCTTGCCTGGGCCTGTGGCTGTCCATATATCGGATGATGGGGAAGCAAAAGAGATATTTAAAGTCTGCCGTGAGCTCTGCAAAACAGCATCCCTCAGAAAAAAAAAATAGACAAATAAACTAATAAAAGTGCAAACAAGCCTTCCAATTAACTGCTCTACCCAAGAGTATAATGAGCTAAGAAACCCTGATTCGTCATTGAGGCAGATGCTGTGATGCTTGTTTTTTAATCACATATTTTTACAACATCTGGAAGGTGTGCTAGCTCTTTAGACAGGTCGGTCTTTGTTCCAAAAAGTATATAATCTAGATTTAGATACAACAGTTAGGATGGACAAGTGGTAGAAGTGGGGGTTGCAATGAAAATCACAAGGTCAATTTAGCTGTCTGGACATCTTAAGGTTTCTTTAGTATAACAACACTTATTGGAGAAAACAATGGAAGGAAATTTCATGTAAAGGATAAAAACAAGAAAAAAGTGGCCTATACAACTTCGCTCGGAACAGATCTTTGATCCACAGGTGGCACTGGCAGAAAAAAAAAAAGAAGAAACAAAAGGCGCTTCAAAGCCAAAAATCACTGTCTAAGGCTAAGTATAGAGGCTCAAAAAGCCCAAGGTTTTTCTAAGCTGCATAGCTTGAACCAATAACAAACTGAACTGACACACAGTGTTTGGGTGGCCAAGACAGGCAGAAGCTACCCACCGCAGCCTGGCCAGCAGGGCTCCAGTTGGCTCAGGCCTGCCCCACCAGCCCCACACCTGTGAGAGGGGGTGAGAGAACTCACACACTCAGCCTGGCACAAGCCCCCCCAGTCAGGAGCTGCCCAGCAAGGAGGAAAGACCCCAATGCGGGGGGTTTCACTCCCCCATAGTCCAGTTCATCAGGCTGCCCCCACCTGTTAGAGATGGAGGTCAGGCACTGCCCCCGCCCCCACCACTCTGGCAGGCTCTGGCCACTGTGGAGAGGGAGCTTTTCACTCCCCTGCAGCCTGGCTCACCAGGCTGGGATCAGCTGAGCCCTTCCCCCTCACCAGCCCCCCACCTTCAAGAGGAGAAGGGAAATGCACCAGCCCAGCCCTGCACCGGACACCCCAGCCAGGGTCTGCCTGTGCTGAGCTGGGATCAGATCAGCCCTGCCTGTAAGAGGAGCAGGGTGCGGAGGCAAGGGCACCAGCCCAGCCAGCCAGACACTGCCCGCCCCCAGCCAGACCAGCTTAGCCCTGCCACCTCCCCAGAACGGGGTGGAGCTGATCCCCATCTAGCTCATCAGGCTACAAGGTTATGAAAAGCTCCTAGTGGGAGCATTTCCCACACCCCCCAGACAAACCCCAGCTGGGGGGTGGGGAGGAACCAACGCCCAGCTGGGCTGGTGCATCTGCCCCCCACGCTTCTCAGATGGGGGCTGGAGAGGGGGCAGGGCTGAGGTGATCCCAGCCAGAAAGCCAGGCTCCAGGGGGTGCCCACCTCCTGGGCAAACCGCATCTGGGGGAGGAGGCAGTGATGGGCCAAGCCAATTCATTCCCCTCTTATTCTACCTCTCCTATTGGAGGGGGGGGGGGGGG